CTTTTTTTAAAAGAATATTTTCCTACAAATATATTTTTATTGGAAAATACCCAAATAATGAAATATCTATAATTTAACTTTAGATTCTAAATTATGATGAATTTGTCTACAAGTATTTATCCCATTACATTTACCTAATTATTTTAATTGTTTACCTGGATTATTTATGAAAACTGTGATAGTCATCATTTAAATTATGGAACTGCCATTGCAAAATTATAACTGAGACAGTGAAAAAGATTTGACCCAACTGATTCCATCTTGCTTTTAACCTCCAAGCCGTCCTTGTTCATTCCTGGGCATAGGCTGAACTAGCTTTGGGAGGAACTTAGTTTATAATTTAGCTTTGAAACAAAGATGATAATGGTCCTTTCCCAAAACAAACCTTACTGCCTGTGGACCAGACTGCCTAAAACCACAAGATTAGAAGTTATGGTAATCTTACTAAATTTAAGATGTAGCTATTTTTTATTAAATCAATATCAATGTCTTACTTATTAAAGATTATACAAGCAAAGATCATTTTGTCTTGGGCTGGGTTTCTAGTTTTGTAACCCCTATGTCAGATTTTGACATCTTATAGTATTTGGCAGGGATAAGTATGAAATTGCTTGATTAATAAATGCAAACAAAAATGTATGTTGACAATTCTTAAGACATTTCTAATATTACTTTACCAATAATTGAAAAGCTAGTTTATTTATTAAAGATTTTACTGAAGTTATGTAAACTTGAAAAAGCATTTGACTAGTCTTTTCTTTTTTCCTGATAAAGTATTCGATTCAAGTGCTTTTATTTTTCTTTAAGCCAATTAATTAGTGTTGTTTTATATCTTTTCAGTAATGAAACATTGTGTACAAAACATATGCATAGATATATTAGGCATGCCAATAGAAGTACATCTTATAGATTAATGAAAACCTTTTTTTTCCCCATGTTAGACATTCAGATTCTTGATAACCTATTTCACAACCCTAGGCAGTTTTCAGCTAAATAGACTTAAATTTGCATATTAAAGGAAACAACTCATGTGAAAATCAAATGGCAAAATTTATATCATAACATATGGAGAGAAAAAGTCTGGTGTGCTAGAGGGAGATTAAAGATGGATGCCAAATCAAACATAAAATTGTAAAAATATTTCATAGTTTTATATAAGGAGACCAATTTTATTTAGACAGTGACTACCTATCTTTTAACTGGATTGCTGAGCTCTAGGCAAAGCCCATGCCGAATCCTGGGTTTCCAAAAAAGGAGAATTATTATGAGGCTAGACCACATCATGTTTTCACAGTGCACGTAAAAAAAAAAAAAAAAATTTTTAAACGAAGACATTTCTAAGTGCCTAAACTACACCCTTCTTTAAAAACCCAAGAGTAGCCTCTGTTGCAGTAACTATATTAGTCAATAAATCAGGTAACAATACCAAAGAGAGCAGTTTAAAAACTGAACTGAACTTGTTTGTTTACACTCTTGGAGTTCCCATAGGGAAAAACAGCGTTCTCCTCCAAACGGAGTCTGGTACCTTCTCTGTTTTCTTTAAGGAACCCTGGGCTATTATAAACTATTTTAGGCCCCTCATGCAGCAGAGGATACAAGAGAAAGGAGAGACAGCAGAAGTAAATGAAAAAACAGAATTCGGTCAACTGAGAAGAAAAACACTTTTGCTCAAAAGAAAAGGGACAAGATTCTAGGAGGAAAAAAAAAATTAAAACATGAAGGCCTTTTAAATACAAACACACACATGCACACATACACACACATCTTGGATGTTAGCTTTTAATTAAGCTAATTTTAACCACTGAGCTTCTTTTAAAAAATATTTTAAAATCTCATTACCATATTTCAGCTAGGAAAAATTACTGCTATTTCAGAAGTACCAAGTATCAAACCAGAAAGGGCTTGATTTAGGAACAAAACCCAGGCTGTTGTGGTGGAAAAAATAAGGCAGAACCTTAGCTATGGAACTGCAGCATGAGGCAACAACCACTACTTTTGGTTTGGCCTGGCTAGCAAACAGGTGGCCTCGTTATGTAAAGATATAAAATATATGTTATATAAAAGATATACGTTATATAAAATAGTTACCTGCCTTCCAGTGTCATAGAAGCAGGACAAAAATGACTTCCTTGTGTTGAAAGCAAGTAAAACTTCAAAAAAAGAGAAGTTGTACAGCAAATAAACTTTAGATCATGACCAAACTTGAGATCAGGGATTCTCTGGAGAGGGTGCTTCCAAGCCTCAGCAAATTGTCCTATTGGTTTGAGCCATACAGATAGCTCAAGCTAGTACCAACCACCAATAGAAGATTTGTCAAATATCAGGGGTACCTCCAGTCAGAATTCCTCTGTGGTTACCAAAATGTGAACCCCAAAAATCTGAGACAGGCCTCAGTTAATTTAGAAAGTTTATTTTACCAAGGTTGAGGATGCGCACCTGTGACACAGCCTCAGGAGGTCCTGGCGACATATGCCCAAGGTGGTCAGAGCACAGCTTGGTTTTATCCATTTTAGGGAGACATGAGACATCAATCAACATATGTAACGAACATTGGTTTCGTCTGGAAAGGGGGGACAACTCAAACCTAGGAGGGGGCTTCCAGGTCATAGGTAGAGAAGAGACAAATGGTTGCAATCTTTTGAGTTTCTTATTAGCCTCTTCAGAGGAGGCAATCAGATATGCATTAATCTCAGTGAGCAGAAGGGTGACACTGAATAGAATGGGAGGCAGGTTTTCCCTAAGCAGTTCCCAGCTTGACTTTTCCCTTTAGCTTAGTGAGTTTGGGGCCCCAGTACATTTTCCTTTCCCATAAGCTACCCAGTTTAGGGCATTTTGTTATAGCAGCCCAAATGAACTAAGACAGCAATGTATCATGGACATCTTTCCATGTCAGGAATGATTGACCTAATTCTTTGAAATTACTGCATAATATTTCCTCACATACAGTTATTGTGACTTATGTAATGCTAGACATATTGGGGTTGTTCTTGTTTGTTTTTTTTTGTTTTTTTCTTTTTGAGCTCTTCCCTGTAACAAATAATGTATTAGTAAAAATCCTTGTGCATTAATTTTTTAAAATACCTGTGCTGGCGTTTCTATAGATAAAGATGCCTGAAACATCTTTAAAATTTTTTCAGATGATCCACATTGTCCCCCACCTCCCCAAAATAGATCAACTTCTTTTTTAAAAAAAATTATGTATTTATTTATTTATTTACTTTTTGAGACAAGGTCTTGCTCTGTCACCCAGGCTTGAGTGCAGTGGCATGATCTCAGCTCCCTATAGCCTCAACCTCCTGCTCAAGTGATCCTCCCACCTTAACCCCCAGTAACTGGGACCACAGGCATGCACCATCACAATCAGCTAATTTTTTTCAAGTTTTTCATAGAGACCAGGTCTCAATATTTTGCCCAGGCTGTTCTCAAACTCCTGGACTCAAGTAATATCCCCCACTTGGCCTCCCAGAGTTCTGGGATTACAGGCATGAACCACCACACCCAGCCTGGATCAACTTCTGAAGCATATCTGTCTCCAACAGCAGCCCTTGCTCTCCTGGCTTTGCTAAGAAAATAAGTCCCTTGCACTTAAATAGCCTCTTTACCTTGCCTCTGTCCCATTATAGGTTACTCGCATTAGTTTTTCATCATTCCAATCCCATCTGCTTTAAATCTTCTAGACATTTACTCAAAGTTGCTGATTTGTGGATGGCCTTCTTCCCCATTTCCAGTGCTGCTCTGGAATCTAGATAGAGTAATCCTGGTGGTTTACTTCACTGTCTTGAACTAGAATCCTCAGCACCGTCCTACCTGAAAAATCTCATGAAGAATAACAGACGTAAAGTAGATTGATGGTACTTAAAGTAAGCAGAAAATAAAAGGGTATGCAAAGCATGATTATAACCAAGGGAAATATTAATCTGTAGCACAATAGTCCCCTCTTATCTACAGTTTCATCTTCTGTGGTTTCAGCTGCCTGCAGTCTGAAAACGTTAGTGGGAAATTTCTGAAATAATCAACACGTAACTTGTAAATTGCATGATATTCTGAGTAGAGTGATGAAATCTCTCACTAGCCCACTCTGTCCTGCCTGGGACATGAATTATCTTTTTGTCTGTTGGAGTCACTTAGCACCCTTCTGATTATCAGATCGACTGTAGTGGTATTGCAGTGCTTGTGTTCAAATAACCATTAATTTCTTTTTCTTTTATTTCGTTTTATTTATTTTGAGACAAATATTTGCTTGGTAGCCCACGTTGGAGTACAACGACACAATCTCAGCTCACTGCAACTTCTGCCACGGGTTCTACAGGTGCCTGTCACCACACCTGGCTAATTTTTGTATTTTTAGTAGAGACAGGGTTTCGCCATGTTGGCTAGGCTGGTCTTGAACTCCTGACCTCAAGTGATCCACCCACCTTGGCCTCCCAAAGTGCTGGGAATACAGGTGTGAGCCACTGTACCTAGACCTCAGTTTCTTAATCATGGCCCCAAAGCTCAAGATAAGTGATGTTGGCAATTTGGACCTGCCAAAGAGAATCCATAAAGTGTGTCCTTTAAGTGAAAAGGTAAAAGTTATTGACTTCATTTAAAAAAGAAAAAAATAGTATGCTGAGGTTGCTAAGACACATGGGAAGAATGAATCTTCTATCTGTAAAATTGTGAAGGAAAAATAAATTTGTGCATAGTAGGGTCTGGTATACCTGCAGTTTGAGGCATCCACTCAGGATCTTGGAATGTATCCCCTGCAGATCAAGGGGGACTACTGTATTCTAGGACTAGAAAGGAAGGGGAAACATGTTAAAATGTGATATATAGAATGCTAACTTTCCTTTGTTTATTCCTTATTGTTGGCAAAATGTTATTTGGAAAAAGAGACAAAAGATTAAAAGACAAAAGAAACATGGTAAGGGTACTTATTTTTGCAAGAGATGTATATTCTTTTATATTCAGCTTCTTTTCTACTTTGTCAGATTGATGACACGTGTACACTGTTTTCACAGGGAAGAAAACAGCCTCTAAAGTGAAGAAAGCTGAACCTGAATGTCTGGCATCTAAGTTAAGAGGTAAATACATGTTTGACATCATCTCCTTTTGCTGGCAAAGGTAAACTACCAGTAGGGAATCACCTGAACTTGCCCAGAGCCCATCTGCTTTGAAAAAGGACTCGCCTAAGAACAGGTGTAAGAAGGTGGCAAAAACGTCAGGGTTCAGGGCATCTGAACAGTGTGTGCGTGCTGAGCGAGGAGGGTGATAGTGGGTGTGAATCCCCAAATTACAGAAGTGGAATGCACTGCACAAAGGCTTGCAACATTTCTTATAAATCTATTCTTTCTCTTCAGAAAAATGGGTAATTAATCCAGAAGAGCCAAAACTAAATATTTTATATGAGCTGGAGGTAAGAAATGTTGATCGTGCTAACTAGTACACTGTTCTCATGGTAAAAATGGCTTATCCAGTCTTCAATTATTTCCCCTCGCCACCCCTTTCTCTGTTTAAACGTAGTTTAAGGAAGATTTCATAACACTATTCGAGCCTTCTCTAAGAACGTTACCCAGCGTTGGACCACCAACCATTCTGGCATACAAAGAAGAGAGCTCCAATTTAGACATTAATTTCAAGGTGATTTTAATTCATGTTTTTTATTGTTACTCTTTTAAAATGACATAAAAAAATAATGATTTGCACAATAGACAGTGAAAAGGCTCTAAAAGGAAAAAAAAAAAAAAAAAGCCAAAGAGCTCAATTACTTAGAATAGCACTTACAGTGACTGTGTTAGTTGCCTAGGGCTGCTATAACTAGTACCACAAACTGGGTGGCTTAAAACAACAGAAACTTACTGTCTTGTAGTTATGGAGGCTAGAAGTTCGAAATCAGTGTCTTGGCAGGGCCAACATATAGGGGCAAATCCTACCTTCCCTCTTCCTAGCTTGTGGTTGTGGCAGCAGTTTTGGCATTCCTTGGCTTGCAGCTGCATCACTCCAATCTCTGCCTCAGTTGTCACAGCATCCTCTCTGTGTGTCTGGGTCCAGATGTCTCCCTTTTCTAAGGACACCAAGTCCAATTGGATTTGGGCCCGCTCTAATGACCTCATCTTAACTTGATTACATTTGCACAGACTATTTCTCAATAAGGTCACATTCACAGGTAGCAAGAGTTAGGACTTCAATGTATCTTCTTGGGATACACAATTCAACCTGTGAGAGTGGCTGCAAAGCTTGGAAACAGGCCAGATGCAGTGGCTCACACCTGTAATCCCAGCACTTTGGGAGGCTGAAACAGATCACTTGAGAACAGCCTGGGTGACAGAGAGAGACCCTGTCTTTAAAAAAAAAAAAATTATTATTATTATTTTATTATTATTTTTTGAGACAAGGTCTTGCTGTGTCACCCAGGCTACAGTGTAAGTGGAACGACTGTGGTTCACTACAGTCTCAACCTCCCGGGCTCAAGCAATCCTCTCACCTCCGCCTCCCAGGTAGCTGGGACCACAGCTGTGCACCACTATGCCTAGCTAATTTTTTAAATATTTTGCAGAGGTAGGTCTCACTATGTTTCCCAGGCTTATTATTAAAAAAAAGAAGAAGAAGAAGAAAAAGAAAAAGAACAAAGCCTGGAAACATGGGTGAATATTTGCCATATTTGGTCATAATTCCTGTACTTGAAGGGCAAGAGAAAGGTTACCTCAAGTAATTCCAATAAGATGGTGCAGCACCACACTGCCGCTAGAGGGGTGAGGGACTGACTGGTGGAATGGTTGTTTCCAAACCTGGATTGGATGCCATGGCCATGTGGAGAGAACTGCTCACTCCCCAGATCTGAGAATCCTGATGACTTCTTCTTGGGCATAGTAAAGGTACAGGTTTATTCATTAACAATAAGGGGCACGAATCATACAAGGCAACACATCGTGGATGCACGTGTAGAGATTAGTGGAAATGCTGTATGGATGCACTGAGGTGGTGTTCATTGCTATTTTGTACAGCACATTGAGCTATGCAATCTAGTGAGGGGAAACATTAAGTATATCATGTAATATAATATCTATAAACATTTACTCTTTGTATTTACCCAGGTCACTTTATGGTCACTCAACAGACTCTTCAGGCTGAAATTCTTTTTTCTTTTTATTTATTTATTTAAAAGGTATGGTCTCACTATATTGCCCGGGGTGAGCTGAACTCCTGGGCTCAAGCAATATCCCTACCTTTGCCTCCTAAAATTCTGGGATTATAGACATGAGCCATCACTGCCGGCCCTGAGATTCCTTATTTAAATATAGCACCTTCCTTTTTCTGCACCACAAAGGCTTGTATCTAGGGATGTCTCTGAGGTTATACTCTCCTCCCGCAACACCCAGAGATGGCTCTTACCATGGGGAAGGCCTTGCGGCTTCTCCCCCAAGATGTCCCTAAACTTGGACAAGGCTGGCACTTGGACGAGGCTGGCTCCTCCGGCTCCTCAGCAGGTCTTTCGGGTCTAGTGTTGATGCCAATCTAGTGCAGGGGTAGCAGCAGCTGGCTTGCCCAGCTCTTCTCTCTAGCACACCCTCTTCAGGTGAAGATCCCAACTCCCCTCATGGTCTTTTTGTTTTTGTTTTTGTTTTTGTTTTGAGATGGAATCTCACTCTGTCACCCAAGCTGGAGTGCTGGAGTGCAGTGACGTGATCTCAGCTCGCTGCAACCTCTGCCTCCCGGGTTCAAGCAATCCTCTCACCTCAGCCTCCCTAGTACCTGGGACTACAGGCACACACCACCATGCCTGGCTAATTTTTGAATTTTTAGCAGAGACAGGGTTTACCATGGTGGTCAGGCTGGTCTCAAATTCCTGACCTCAGGTGATCGGCCTGCCTCGGCCTCCCAAACTGCTGGGATTAGCGGTGTGAGCCACCGTGCCCAGCCTCCCTCATGGTCTTTTGAAGTATCTCCATCTTGCTTCACCCCAAGCTGAGGGCGAAAGGACAATGGACTGAGGGGTTCACTACCAAGTCCCTTGTATGCAGCAGGTTGTGAATGGCTTGGTATTGCCCAGCTCTCTTTCTCCCCTACTCCATCATTTGATAGCTATCCTAGATTTTCCTCCATCATCTCTCTAAAGCAAGACTTCCCTCTCCAAGCATTCTGCTTTTAGCAATGTGTAGTACTTACTATTGGGGAGTTTCAGTGGCCTAAATATGTTGGACCTTACTCTAGGGTAGTGAATCCCTGGCTGCACTGGCCACCTTAGTCACTTTTTAGCCCTATGGTTAGGCATTTTTGCCAGTCTCAGAGAATGGTTTCCATGCCATATACAGGTGCCCTGGTGGTGTTAATGGTCTGCAAGTCATGATCTAGGTCTCTTCCTGGAGGCCTGTACTGAGGCTTGGCTGCTTACCTGCTCAGCAGCCTGTGCAGTCACAGACATGACCGCAGGTCATTGACATGGCCACAGTGTATCAGCTCCACATTGGGTCAGTTGAGCCCCTAACTCCCAATCTCTCCCTTGTTTTGCCTCCCCTCCTCCTCCCTGTCCTGAATTACCTTCACAATACAGACAAAATTCAGAGCTCCCACCTAGGCTCCCCTGGAGAAGGGATTCTCATTTATTTTAGAAAGTTGGTCATTGTACATGTTGAACTACACAGTAATGTCAAGGTTTTTTCTTACTTCCCACTTCTTTTTTTTTTTTTTTTTTTTTTTTTTTTTTTTTTTTTTTTTTTTTTTGAGGCGGAGTTTCGCTCTGTCGCCCAGGCTGGAGTGCAGTGGCCGGATCTCAGCTCACTGCAAGCTCCGCCTCCCGGGTTCACGCCATTCTCCTGCCTCAGCCTCCCGAGTAGCTGGGACTACAGGCGCCCGCCACCTCGCCCGGCTAGATTTTTGTATTTTTTTTTTAGTAGAGACGGGGTTTCACCGGGTTAGCCAGGATGGTCTTGATCTCCTGACCTCGTGATCCGCCCGTCTCGGCCTCCCAAAGTGCTGGTATAACAGGCTTGAGCCACCGCGCCCGGCCTACTTCCCACTTCTTGAAAGAGTTAACGATGTTCAAATACCTTAGACCATTTGCATAAAATCCAGTGTGTGTTATCCTTGTCTCTTGCATCTAGGTATATAATACACATTCCCCTCCCCAACAAGAGACTCTGGTATCCACAGTGAATTCATTTCTGCAACTTTCTTCTTATACGAGGGAGGCATCCCAAAGACCACACACTTCCTAATAGGCTCAGCTGTGCTCTGGGGAATTGCACAAGACAAAGACCTGCAAAACACCACCTCAGGCTCCTCAAGCCTCACCAGCCCTTAAATGGATGTGATATCACATCCTGGCACATCTCATCACCACTGCTGTTGCATTCACTGACCGTGCCCAGGGTTGTGCTCCTGCTGCTCTCAGAGCCTCTGGGCCTCTTTGTAGGGACTTCTTTAATTTTTTCCTCTCTCTCTGAAGGATGAAGAGGAGGAGGCATCACCAAAATGTGAATTTTGTGGAAGCGATCTAAGAGCATTTTTTTCTAATGTGGATGTTTGCTCTGAATCAAAGGGGCATGTAAGTTCTAAGGCAGGTTTACTGTGGAAATAGTATTATCTTTAAACATATGTAGTATTTTCTCTTGCATCTTTCCCCCGCATTACCATTTTTAAAAGAGTTAGGCTGGGCTTACTTTGGAAGTCCAAGGTGTTTGGATTGCCTGAGCTCAGGAGGTCGAGACCACACTGGGCAACACGGTGAAACCCTATCTCTACTAAAATACAAAAAGTTAGCTGGGTATAGCAGTGTTCACCTGTAGTCCCAGCTACTCGGGAGGCTGCGGCAGAAGAATTGCTTGAACCCAGGAGGCGGAGGTTGCAGTGAGCTGAGGTCACACCACTGCACTCCAGGCTGGGCAACAGAGTGAGATTCCGTCTCCAAAAAAAAAAAAAGAGTTATGTGTTAGCTGTCAGGGAAATGCAAATCACAAGCACAATGGGATACCACTTCACACCCACTAGGATGGGTATAATTTAAAAGACAGATAACAACAAGTGTTGATAAAGATGTAGAGAAATTAGAAGCCACATGTACTGCTGAGGGGGAATATAAAATGGTGCATCACTTTGGAAAACAGTCTAGTAGTTCCTTGAAAGGTTCAACATACGGTAACCATATGCCATCAGTTCTATTCCTAGGTTTATATCCAAGAAAATGGCAACATATGTCCACACAAAAACTTATACAAAAATGTTCATAGCGGCATGATTCGTAATAACCAAAATATAGAAACAACCCGACTGTCCATCAATGGATGAATAAAATGTGGTATATCCATACCATGAAATATTATTCAACCATAAAAAGACATATGAAGTACTGAAACATGTTACCATATGGACAAACCCTGAAAACATTATGCTAAGTGAAAGAAGCCAGACATAAAGAGTGCCACATGTTGTATGGTTCCATTTTATAAACTATACAGAACAGGAAAATTTAGAGAGACAGAATGTAAATTAGTGGTTGCCAGAGGCTGTGAAGAAGGAAGGAGAGGAAGTGACTGTTAGTGAGGACAGGTTTCAGATTCTAAAAGTGATTGTGATGATGATTGTACAACTCTATGAATATACTAAAACAAATGAATTGTACTTTTTAAATGGGTGAATTGTATGGTATGTGAGTTATATCTTAATAAAGCTATTACCAGAATAAAAACTTATGATAGATTGTTATCCAAACCTTGTTAGTCATTTTTATCCCCTCTAATCATCTTCATCTAGGACTGATGAGATGAAAGTAACTTCTGTCTTTTCCAGGCCTCCTGCTGTATTGCTTTCCAAAATCTGATTGATTATATCTATGAGGAACAAATAAAAATCAAATCCCCTAAAGCTGAATTAATTGCTATTGACCCTCATGCAGCCCATTACAGTGAGGTCGACAGACTCAAGGCAAAAGAAAAAGCCCTGCAAAGGTAACATTGAGAGTTTGATACCGAAACTCATACAGGCCAACTTAATCGGAGTTTTTTTTGTAAATGAACCTCAGTTTTTCAAGATATATAATTTTGAAGATGTATTTCCTAGATTCACAAGTAATAACAGATCAAACAGACAAGGACGGCATTTAAGCAGCTGAATTTTGTAGTAGACTGTTTTAAGCTTCAACCACATTTCAGATTTATGCCTGATGTTTTTTGATTTTGTAGGAAACAGGAGCAACGAATGGCCAGACATTTTGCTATAATATCAAGGGAACAGACTCATTTCTCTGAAGATGGTGAGTTCATCAGTGCTGATCTTACAGACCTGCTGTACAAAGTCAGAAAGCTCAGATGTTTAACCAAAAGATGAAATGGGTGTATTTTAAAAATAGTATTGGCCAGGTGCAGTGACTCACACCTGTAATCCCAACACTTTGGGAAGCCAAAGTGGGAGAATCACTTGAGCCCAGAAGTTCGAGACCAGTCTGGGTAAAATAGTGATATCCCGTCTCTATGAAAAATAATAATAAGTAGTAGTATTGAAAATTTTTTATTTCTAAGTACAACATAGCCTGCATCCGTCAAAATGGCTCAGAAAAGCTCGTGTTTCCAGCTATCTGGTTTTTGGAATTTTCAGTCTTCATCTCATTGTTATTATTCATTGAAATAAATTAGCAACACCTATAGAACATTTTACAGATAACTACAAAGAGCTTTCAAGTTCATTGTCTCGTATTTTATTAAGCATACTTTCTATTTTGTTTTCAAGCTTGGGTATGGAAAATCTGTCAAAAATAAGTCAACTTGGCTGGGCGCGGTGGCTTACGCCTGTAATCCCAGCACTTTGGGAGACCGAGGCAGGTGGATCGCCTGAGGTCAGGAGTTCGAGACTGGCCTCGCCAACCAACATAGTGAAACCCCCACCTCTACTAAAAATATAAAAGTTAGCTGGCATGGTGGCAGGTGCCTGCAATCCCAGCTACTCAGGAGACTGAGGCAGGAGAATCACTTGAACCTGGGAGACGGAGGTTACAGTGAGCTGGGATCGTGCCATTGCACTCCAGCCTGGGTAACAAAAGCGAAACTCCTGTCTCAAAAAAAAAAAAAAAACACAGTCAGCTTATTTTCTTCATATATTAGTTGTTGTGTAAGTCGGCTCGCTAGTGTCACTGTAGTTCTGGTGCAGTTGAAGAAACACTGCGTTTAGAATCAGAAGTCCTGGATTTATTTCCTTGCTTTTCTCCTTATAGGCTGTCTGATTCGGGGTAAATGACTTAATCTTTCTGGGCATCAGGCTCCTCCTCTACCACCCAGAGCTACTGAAAAGATACTTAGACGGGAGCTAAGCTATGAGGACACAAAGGCATAAGAATGATACAGTGGACTTTAGGGATTCAGGGGGGAAAGGTGGGAGGGTGTGGGGGTTAAAAGACTTCACATCACTGCTCAGGTGGTAAGTGCACCTAAATCTCAGAAATCGCCACTAAAGAACTTATTCATGTAACCAAACACCACCTGTTCCCCCAAAACCTATTAAAATAATAAAATAAAAATGAATAAAAATAAAAGTTGAACTGCCAAAAAAAAAAAAAAAAGATACTTAGAGAAGATACATTTTTATTTATTTTTATAACTAAATCCCTCATATAAAGTTTCCTGATATCCAACTGTTAGAGAGTCAGTTCTACTAGAACTAAGGCCAGAAAGTTCCACTTAATGAAAATTGTCATTTTTTAAATTTCTTTCTGGTTTTGTTTTGTTTTGTTTTGTTTGAGCCAGAGTCTCGCTCTGCCACCCAGGCTGGAGTGCAGTGGCACGATCTTGGCTCACTGCAACCTCTGCCTCCCAGTTCAAGCAATTTTCCTGCCTCAGCCTCACAAGCAGCTGGGATTACAGGCACACGCCACCACACCTGGTTAATGTGTGTATTTTTGGTAGAGATGGGGTTTCACCATGTTGGCCAGACTGGTCTCAAACTCCTGACCTCAAGTAATCCGCCCGCCTCAACCTCCCAAAATTCTGGGATTACAGGCGTGAGCCACTGCACCCGGTCTCATTTTTCTTCTTTTAACAAAGGAATGTTCTCATTTTTTGACAAAGGGGAATAATAAAATTTTTAAAGGTGATGAAAAATTTGAATATAAAAATTTCTTATGAATCAGTGTATTTATATTGGAGTTTGAAATTTCATTTTAGAAAAGAGGCTTTAGAAAATTTAAAACATATGTGTATTTCTATGTGATTCTTTTCCCACTAGATTCAAAGCGCTTAAAAACAATTTCTTATCAACTTTCTGTGGATATTCCAGAAAAACAGACAATTGATGACATTGTATTTGATTTTCAACTGAGAAACAGTAATATGTCCATCATTTGTTGTGATTCTCGGATAGCATGTGGAAAGGTAATGAACTTGTAATTTTTTTACTTGGTATTTTTAAAAAACAGTTCAACCTAAAATCATATAATCTTTCATGAAGCTTGGCTACATGATGCATTTAACTAGTTGTCAAAAAGAATTGGTACAGACTTGGCCTTTTAACTTCTACTAGACTTTATAACAATGTCTTATGTTTGGGTTAAAGCCTTTTTACTTTAAAATGTAAGAGTTGCATATTAGAGAACATTTGGAACCCTTAGAAAATTAAAAGGAAGGGAAGAAAATTACCAAAAGTCTCAATCACTTCTCCCAAAACATTAATATTTCAATATTTTCTAGACTTGCACTGCCCAATATGGTAGCAATACTACATTTGGCTATTTAGATTTAAATTAAATTAAATTAAAAATGTAATTTCTCAGTCACACTAGCCATTCCACAAGTCTTAGATAGCTACATGTAACTAGTGACTACTGTACTGCAGTGATGATACAGAACATTTTTCTTGTAATCAAAAGTTATATTAGCACTGTTCTAGATGGTTTTCCTTGCATGGGTTTTTGTTAACATACTTATATCTCTTTTTTAACTTAATTATAAAAACAAATTTTCCAAGACCAGGTACATTGGCTCACACCTTTAATCCCAGCACTTTGGGAAGCCAAAGCAGGCAGACTGCTGGAATCCAGAGGTTCAAGACCAGCCTGGACAACAAGACAAAACCCCATCTCTACAAAATACAGAAAAATTAGCTGCGCATGTTGACATGCACCTGTAGTCCCAGCTACTTGGGGGGCTGAGGCAGGAGGATCCCTTGAGCCTAGGGGCAGAGGTTGCAGTGAACCAAGTTTGTGCCACTGCACTCCAGCCTAGGTAACAGAACAAGACCCTGTCTAAAAAAAAAAAAAAAAAAAAAAAAATTCATGATATTATATAGCTTACATTAATATTATTTTGATAGCTATATAATTTATCATGTAGTTTAACCCATTTTTCTGTTCTTGGACATACTGATTCTTAACAATTTTTTGCTATATAAATGCCATTTCTTTAAATATCCTTGTATGTAAGTACATTTCTATGTAAGTATAGTCCCTCAGAATAGACTTCTCAGAATTAAATTACTGAGACCTGGTTTGTTTATCTTGGGAGATATAGAATTTAAGGGTTGAACCAGGCAAACTGGCTTGCACCTGTAATGCTAGCTACTCAGGAGGCTAAGGTGAGAGGATCACTTGAGGCCAGGAGTTTGAAACTAGCCTGAGCAACATAGCAAAATCCCATCTCTAAAAAAATTTTTTTGGCTGGGTGTGTTGGCTCACGCCTGTAATCCTAGCACTTTGGGAGACCAAGGTGGGTGGACTGCCTGAGCTCAGGAGTTCGAGACCAGCCTGGGCAACATGGTGAAACTGCATCTCTACTAAAATACAAAAATTAGCTGGGCAAGGTGGCAGGCACCTGTAATCCCAGCTACTCGGGAGGCTGAGGCAGAGAATTGCTTAAACCTGGGAGGCAGAGGTTGCACTGAGCCGAGATCGCACCACTGCACTCCAGCCTAGGCAACGGAGCAGGACTCCGTCTCAAAAAAAAAAAAAAAAAAAAAATTTTTAAATTAATTAGCTGGCCATGGCAGCACATGCCTGTAGGCCCACCTACTTGGGAGGTTGAGTCAGGAGAATCACCTGAGCTGAGGAGTTTGAGACAGCAGTGAGCTATGATCACTCCAGCCTGGGTGACAGAGCAAGACCCATCTCAAAACAAACAAACAAACAAAAAATGTAAGGGGTGTCAGTAAACCCAGGTGCCTGGCAGAAGTAAATCCAAACTATCTTTGGAGGAAGGTCACTAATTCAACCTTCAAATCACACCTACAAATTATTTTTCAAGTTCAGTTACCAGCATACAGTGAAAAATAACCAAGAACACAAGAAAACTTAACAATACAACTAAAAATCCAGAGGAATAATAATCAATAAGAAGAGACCTGAAAAGACTTTGGAAAATGAGAAAGTCTAACTGTGATCATGAAAATAAGAGATCAGCTTGAAGATATATGAAGGGAAAACTATAAACTGATGTAGCAAATTTGAAATGGAAAAAAATGAACTGAAATGAAAATGAAAACTGCAACAACTGAAATGAAAAATACAACAATCGAAATTAAAAACTTGAAAGATGAGAGCTGAAAGCAGGTTAGACTCCACTAAAGAAAGAACCAATGCCCAGGAAGAAAAGTTGAAAAGAAAAAATATCAAAATTCATTATGGGGATTTAAAAAAAAGGCAAGAAACACAAGACAGAGTGTATGGTACAAAAATAAAATGAGAGGTCTAACATGCATTTATTCAAAATCCCAGAAGGAGAGAAAAAAAGATAATCAGGCAGAGCTAGTATTTTAAAAGATAATGGATGATAATTTTTCAAAACTGATAAAAGAGACCCATCGACAGGTTTAAGAATCCCAGTGATCTCAAGCAGTATGAGGGAAAAAAAAAATTCTAGACACATTATAGTGAAACTGCAGAAAACTAAGACCGAAAACAAAAAAAAAAAAAAAAGGAAAGAAAGAATTCTTAGAAGTAACAGAGGAAAAAAAGTTCAGGTTACATTTAAAAGAAAACAGATTGGCAGATAACCTCCCAACAGCAACAACAGAGGCTCAAAGGCAATGGAATGTCTTCAGCGTGGTGAAAGAAAACAATGGCCAATCTAGAATTCTATACCCAGTTAAAATGTATTTCAAGAAAGTGTAAGATAGGTCAGGTGCAGTGGCTCACACCTGTAGTCCCAGCTCTCTAGGAGACCAAAGCAGGCAGACCACCTGAGGTAGGGAGTTTGAGACCAGCCTGGCCAACATGGTGAAACCCCATCTCTACTAAAAATATAAAGATTAGCCAGGCGTGGTGACACATGCCTGTAATCCCAGCTACTCGGGAGGCTGAGGCAGGAAAATCACTTGAACCCAGGAGATGGAGGTTGCAGTGAGTCGAGATCTTACCACTGCACACCAGCCTGGGCAACAGAGCAAGACTCTGTCTAAAAAAAAAAAAAGAAAGAAAGAAAGTGTAAGGTAAAGATAAGAGGATCACTTTATAAGACAAAGATAAAGATGATCACTTTTTAATTGACAAAATTTCAATCCACCAGTAAGATATAGCATTACAAAATATATTGTCCATATTAGCACAGCCTCAAAAACATATGAAGCAAAATTTCACAGAAGCAAAAGGAGAAATAAAGAAAACCATATTCATAACGAGATATTTTAGCCTACCTCTTCCGTTTTAGAGATGACACTGTTTGATCATTCTTTCCAGAGTGATCTATAGATCCAATATAATCTCAGATTCTAACAAGATTGCCTATGTGTGTGTATTGGGGGAAGGGAAGTCTTGACAAGTTGATTTTAAAATGTATGTGGAAATATAAAGAACCTAGAGTAACCAAAACACTCTTGAAGAAGAAGAGGCTGAGGAGAGGAGGATGTGTTCTACCAGCTATTAAGATCTATTACAAGATATAGTAATTAAGGCAGTATAGTATTGGGGCAGGATAAACAAGGAAATCCATATACATAATAGAGTCCAGAAACAGACTCATGCATGCATGAATATCTGATTTATGATAGCAATGGCACTGCACATTGTGCAGGGGCTGGTTTTTATCTGCTTTTGTTTTGTTCTTATAGTAACATTTATAAAAAAATAATAATAATTAAAATCGATATGTAATGTCAGATTTCTACCAGAAGGATTTTTATCAAGTTATACTTGCAAGGGTTAGGGACAATCTGTTAATCATTGCTAAGGGTTGTCGCCTGTTTTTAAAGCAGAGCCAAAATTTAAATTAATAAATGGTTTGTATGACTGTCTAGTAACCAGCTGATGTCCATTGTTGTCATACTTATGACTTTATGTCCGAAATAATGAAGTGTCTTTTCTTTTCTGTGGTGTACAGGTTGTCAGGAATGAGCTCTTGGAGAAGCATTACAAACATGGGAGCAAGTTTCTAACTTCATTTCCAGATGGGACAACACAAATATTGTATCCTCTTTCAACAAGTTATTTTTATTAGCTTTATTACTTCAAAAAAGAGAAAGGTAAAGGAAGGAAATACATGGCCGGGCGCAGTGGCTCACGCCTGTAATGCCAGCACTGTGGGAGGCTAAGGCGGGCAGATCACTTGAGCTCAGGAGGTTGAGATCAGCCTGGGCAACATGGCAAAACTCCATCTCCACAAAATGTTAGCTGGGTGTGGTGGCACATGCCTGTAGTCTCAGCTACTTGGGAGACTGAAGTAGGAGGATCACCTGGGCTCAGGAGGTAGAGGCTGCAGTGAACTGAGATTGTGCCACTGCACTCCAGCATGGGCAATAAAGTGGGACCCTGTCTCAGAAAAACAAAAACAAAAACACAGAAAAAGATAAAGATCCAGCGTAACTGAAAAATAGAAATTTTAATTAAAAAGACAAATAAATAGAAAGATAAAAGGAAACTATAAAGAAACTATATTGGCTGAGCATGGTGGCTTGTGCTTATAATCCCAGCACTTTGGGAGGCTGAGGCAGGAGGGTTACTTGAGCCCAGGAGTTTGAAATCAGCCTGAGCAGCATAGTGAGTTCCCATCTCTATAAAAAATAAGAAAATTAGCCAGGTGTGGTGGTACACACCTCAAGTCCCAGCTACTCAGGAGGCTGAGGTAAAAGGATTGCTTGAGTCCGGGGGGTCAAGGCTGAGTGAGCCATGATCATGCCACTGCACTCCAGCCTAAATGACAGAGCAAGACCAAGAAAGAAAGACAGAAAGAGAGAGGAAAGAGAGAAAGAGAAAGAGGGAGGGAGGCAGGAAAGAAGGAAGGAAGGAAGGAAGGAAGGAAGGAAGGAAGGAAGGAAGGAACAGAAAGAGAGAGGAAAGAGAGAAAGAGAAAGAGGGAGGGAGGCAGGAAAGAAGGAAGGAAGGAAGGAAGGAAGGAAGGAAGGAAGGAAGGAAGGAAGGAAGGAAGGAAGGAAGGAAGGAAGAAAGGAAAGAAGGAAGGAAGGAACGAAGGAAGGAAGGAAGGAAATAAGGAAGAAAGGAAATAAGGAAGGAAAGAAATAAGGAAGGAAAGAAATAAGGAAGGAAGGAAGGAAATAAGGAAGGAAGGAAGGAAATGAAGGAAGGAAGGAAGGAAGGAAGGAAGGAAGGAAGGAAGGAAGGAAGGAAGGAAGGAAGGAAATGGAAGGAAGGAAGGAAGGGAAATACTACCCTCAAATTCTACCACCCAGAGAAAAGCTGATAGCATTTTATTACTATTGTTTTTTTAAGACAGGGTCTCACTGTAAGGCCCAGGTTAGAGTGCAGTGGCACAATTATGACCCACTGCAACCTCAACCTCCTGGACTCAAGCAGTCCCCCCACCTCAGCATCCTAAGTAGCTGGGACCGCAGACATGCACCATTATACCTGGCTAATTTTTTTAATTTTTGGTAGAGATGGGGATCTCTCTATGTTGCCCAGGCTGGTCTTGAACTCCCGGGTGCAAGCGATCCTCCCGCCTCAGTATCCTAAATGGCTGGGATTGCAGGTGTGAGCCACTGTGTCTGGCTAGCATTTAAAAATAAATGTTTTTTGTTTTTTCTTTTTTTTTTTTTTGGCTATTCTGAATGCACTTCCTATGGGGTAGCCCTGCTCTGCAAAGAGCAGTTAAAAAAAAAAAAGAGAGAGAGAGAGAGAAATAAATGAATGAACATAAAAATATGTGGTTTTTGTTTGTTTTTTGAGACATAGTCTCACCCAGGCTGTAGTGCAGTAGTGGGATCTTGGCTCACTGCAACCTTCACCTCCTAGGTTCAAGCAATTTTCCTGCCTCAGCCTCCCAAGTACTGGGATTAACAGGCGCATGCCACCACGCCCATCTAACTTTTATATTTTTAGTAGAGACAGGGTTTTTCACTATGTTGCGCAGGCTGGTCTTGAACTCTTGACTTCAGGTGATCTGCTCGCCTCAGCCTCCAAAAGTGCTGGGATTACAGGCGTGAGCCACCACACCCGGCCCATGGAGTTTTTAAAAATATTTTCTCTGTCTATGAGCATGTATATATATAAATTGATTCTTTAACTGTTTATTCATATTTTCTAACTCGTTTACATAATGAAATTATACAATAATGTTCTAAATATATGATAATGCAATAAATATAAAGATACAACACCATTTTTCCCCAAAAAACAGGTAGCAACACCATTTTATAACCACATAGTACTTTATTTTATAGATGTACTATAATTCATTTAACCTATCCGCTATTACTGAACAAAGATGGTTTCACAATTTTTGCTATTATACACAACAGCTAAATAAACAGCTTTGTGCATACTTTGTGGCATAGTCACCACTTACTTTCTTGAATTAAATACCTAGGGGTTGAGGCTGGGCATGGTGACCCATGCCTATAATCCCAGCCCTTTGAGAGGCCACAGTGGGCAGATTGCTTGAGCTCAGCAGTTTGAGATCAGCCTGGGCAACATGGTGAAAGCCTGTGTCTACAAAAAAAATACAAAAATGAGCCAGGTATCATGGTGCACACCTGTAGTTCCAGCTACCTGGAAGGCTGAGGTGGGAGGATTGTCTGAGCCAGAGAGGTTGAGGCTGCAGTGAGCTATGATCATGCCACTGCACTCCAACCTGGGCAACAGAGCAAGACCCTATCTCAAAAAATTAAATAAAGAAATATATAAACAAACAAACATATAGGGGTAGAAATTCTAGATGAATAATTTGGACATTTTAAAGCTTTGATAGATTTTGCCATCCCTCCATCCCAGAAAATGTATACTAGTTTACACACCCATGAGCGGTAGACAATTTTTAATACCAAAATTCAATATCTATTTCATAGAACACCAAGTTATTGATCGCTTGGACTTTCTGCCTGATGGCCAGGTCATTCATTTAATATTTACACTTTCTGAGCTGTTCAGATCCTCATAATATCTGAGGAAAGTAAAAACAAAAAGCAAAAAAATGAGGAGGCCTTTTCATGAACTGAGAGCCTCCCCTTGTAGAAGAAAGTCATTTTTAGTTATCGTTTCCAAAGTGTTTACTTAAACCCCAATAATAAGCCAGAAAAATGACTTTCACAGCATAGGAAGCATAATGAAGTTTTAGTTCCTTAGACCCTCTGAGAGTGTGTAGGTTTTGTTTTAATTACATCAATAAATTTTAAATAATTTACCTGACCTAAATATTTTTTAAAAGTTTTTAGAGACAGAGCCCTGCTATGTTGCCTAGGCTGGCCTCAAACTCCTGGGCTCAAGTGACCCTCCCACCTCAGTCTCCCAAGCAGCTGGGACTACAGGCTGTGTCTGTATAAAAACCGTATAAAAATCATATAAAAATATATGGCTTTTCAACTTTTATTATTAATCATTTCATGCCCTGACTTTATTCCTCTTAGCTTTCTTGAAGGCTGTGACTGATCTGCAAAATGATTTAGAATCAATCTTGTGTTTATTTCTGGACTTCTAATCAGCCTGGATATGGAAATGAGTATTAACAGTTAGTGAATTATCTTCAGTATATTATATTACTTTTGATGCTATTGAAAATAGAATTGCTTTCTTAATCTCATGTTTAGAATATCCACTGCTAGTGTACAGTAATACAATTTGTTTTTGTATATTGATCTTGTAGCTTACAACCCTGCTGAACTCATTTACTAGTTTTAATACATTATCTTATGAATTCCTTAGGATTTTCTATATACAAGAACATGTCATCTGCTAACAGGTACAGTTTTACTTCCCTTTCCAATCTGGATGCTTTTCATTTCCTTCTTTTTTCCCCCAAACTTCCATGGCTAGAACATCTTTTGTTTTGTTTTGTTTTGTTTTGAGACAGAGTCTTGCTCTCTCGCCCAGGCTGGAGTGCAGTGGCATAATCTTGGCTCACTGCAACCTACACCTCCCAGGTTCAAGCAATTCTCCTGCCTCAGCCTCCTGAATAGCTGGGACTATAGGCACACATCACCATGCCTGGCTAATTTTGTAATTTTAATAGGCATGGGGTTTCACCATGTTGACGAGGATGATCTCAATCTCCTGACCTCGTGATCTACCCTCCTCATCCTCCCAAAGTGCTGGGATTACAGGCGTGAGCCACCGTGTCCAGCCAGAACATCTATTTATAGTGCAATGTTGAATAGAAGTAGTAACAGTAGACATTTTTGTTTAGTTTCTGATCTTACAAAGAAAGCACTAAGTCTTTCACCATTAAGTATGGTTTTAATTGTGGGTTTTTTTAAATTAAAAAAAAAATCAAAATTCTAAAGATGAAAAAAAGAATTGTTTTGTAGAGACAGGATCTTACTATATTGCCCAGGCTGGTCTCAAACTCCTGGGCTTCAACAATCCTCCTGCCTTGACCTCCCTAAGTGCTGGAATTACAGGCATGAGCCACCATGCCCAGCCCAGCTGTGGGCTTTTTGTAGATACTCTTTATCAGGTTGAGGACATTCATTTCTATTTGAAATCCATTGAGTTTTCTTATTATTAAGAGGGTTGAAACTTGCCAAATGCTTTTTCTGTGTCGTTGAGATGACCATGTGTTTTTTGCTCTTTATTCTATTAAGATGGTATATTAAGTTATTTTCAGATGTTAAACCAACCTTGCATATCTGGGGTAAACCCTACTTCATCATGGTGCATAATCCTTTTTATATTGCGACAGTTCATTTGCAAGTTTTTTGTTGAGGATTCTTGCATCTCATCAGTATATTCTGATCCACATAAAAAGCATAACATTTTTTGTATTAATATAGTACCTCCCATTTTCAGAATGCTTTATCATTTCAGAGTGCTCTCATAAATTGAATTTGTTCCCAGAATAGTCAAGGAGCATTAGAACAATTTATATGACCTTATCTGATCTCAGCTATCCATCTGGAAACCTAGCCATCATTCGAGTGCCCAACAAGGTAAATGGTTTCACTTGTATAGTCCAAGAAGATATGCCCACTAACCCTGCTATCCTGGCAGTGCTGGATTCCTCTGGCAGAAGTTCCTGCTATCATCCCAATGGAAATGTCTGGTAAGCTTCTAGGTTCCTGCTGCTGCCATTTTGTGGCTTTCGTTCTGGGAAATTTTGTTTTTTCTTTTTAAATGATAAAAATGGGTTTAAGAAGATTTATTTAAGTTAGTGGTCTTTAGATGGTAATATTCAACTCAGGGTCATTTTTGGTTTACACCATTCCATATGCTTCTCAGTGGAAAAATCCCAAGCAACTATAAAAATAAAGCTCATCGTATTATTTCTATACATAGTAAGAATATATGAACTATATAATTACAACAGAGAAAAAAACTTGATAAATGATATGGTAACTCTAAAGATTTGGGATGTTAACTGAGGCAGTCTCTAGAGCCTATGCCATTCTGCTTCATCTATGTAAACAACTTGTCAATAGACAGTTGATACACTATGTTGTTATTGTTTGAGATACATTCCTAGCTAGTAAGCGTCCTATAGCCACAAGCAAGAACAATAACATGCAGACAAAATATCCAGAGCAATTAAGATCCTGGTCCCAATTTAACCTACTATGTATAATTATGTGACTTTATATGATTTCATTTAGCCTGACAAAGTGAAATTTGGGTTCTAACTTCAAAACAGTTTAAACTTTTTGAACTTTTCAGAAACAGGTCTTTTCCTTTAAGTTATATACAGGTATAACAATCTCATCTCAGGAACTTCTGCCAATAATTGGCGAAGTTTATACTGCTAGTCTTGAGAAAGTTAGGATACCGAGCTATTTGGGGTTTTTGTCTACAGCAGTAGTCAATTCATTACCACCATGTATATTGGAAAATTTCTATGTATCTTTCAGGATTCTATAGCAATTCTGTTACCTCTGATGGAGTGCTATATTAATTGTCACCAATATTCGTTGGTTTCTAGACTGGAAACCAATAGGTTCTTCCAGATTGGTTTTATGAAGCCGTTGCCCCGTGAACTGAACTCTCAGGCACCCTGAGATGGCTCCTTGATACTCTCATAGCCCTCTCTCTGCCTCTTGTGTAGTAAGTCCATTTCCCTTACCGGACTGACATTCCTTCAGGGCACATCCTGAATCTTTGCTACTACATAGCAGCATATCTGTACATAGTGTAGACTCAAGGAATGCTTACTAAATAAACAAGGGACTAACTTATCCAGAAAATTTTAGCTAGATAATTATTTTCACCCAGATTTCAAGATAAAACTAAATCTTCCCTTCCCAGACACAATAACATAATCACCTCGGTTTCTCATTTGTGCTTTTGTTATTAGATTACTACCACTGATCAATACTGGGGACACGAGATGTTAGCTAGGGGTCCCCATGGCCAAGTCATCTAGTTTTAAAAAAAAATTCATTCTCAAATTAAGCCAACTTTCTGAGTATGCAGAACTATATCTGTTCTCTCTCCTCAAGGTGGGGATGGTAAGAGGGTATGAGAAGGAGATAACTGAATAAAATGGCACAGCGATTAGTACTGCCAGATCTCAGATGGTGAGGGGCTAAAAGTGATGTTGTAAAATGTAAGGCATTCATGGTCTGAAGAGATAGGGTCGCCTAGTGGGTCTAAGGTGTCCACCTTTGCTCTGTCACAGACCTCTTCTCCACTGCAGTGATCACAGAGCTGTTCCCTGAGCCTCTGCCGCCACACTCAGCCATGATGGCAGGACTCGTGGAAGGACTCCTAGCTCCTCATTGGGCATTGCCAGAAAACAGCTCTCTTGTACTGAGGTCGACACAGTCTTCCCCAGAATTTACAGCCACAAGTCTTTATTTTGGTGTGGTGAAAATCTAAGCATTGGTCTTTCCTCCTCTTTTAGGATTAATCTACTCTTCTGTATCTTATTTTCTCCAGACTAAACCTTCCCTGCTCCCTCTTCATCCTTCCAGACTCCTTCATCCCAGGTTGATCCTTTGGACCCATTTTAGTTTATCAGTATGAACTCAAATGGGATACAGTACTTCAAATTAGTGTAGAATTTAGTCATAGTATTATCACTCCTAAGATGACCTGAAGTTTCCACCACTCATGCTAATTGCTGGCATAAACTGTTAGTCCCCTTGGCTAGCAAGTAACAGGGATAATTCCAGTATTTTATTACAGTGTTGCTGTTTATGATTTTTACATTTCCTTCCTGCCCAGGGTATACATCAATATATTGGGAGGTCAATATTCAGATCAAGCCGGCAACAGAATAAGGGCTTGGAATTGGTCAAATTCCATCACTTCCTCACCCTTTGTTTCATTTAAACCTGTCTTTCTGGCTTTGAACCGTTATATTGGAATCCGCATCTTAGAACAAGACAAGATTTCTATAACTTTTCTAGCAATGGGTCAACAGGCAAGAATCAGTGTTGGAACCAAAGTGAAGGTAGGTACATTTTTAAAAACAGTTTAAAGCATTTAGAATAATAATAAGAGTAAAATAACTTTTGTTAGTATTATTACTGATAGATTACACTAGTGCATAATCTACTGTCCACTAGGATTTTGGAATTCAATGGAAAAACATGTAGTGAAAGCTTCATATGGAATTGAGGCAGCTTTATTGTTTCATACTCTGAAACTCCTTTAAGTTCAGATTCAGATCCAAGTAACACTTATTGCATGTTTGCTCTGTGCCTGAGTAGTGCTGCTTTGAGGGTTTTGTTTAAAGATTTCATATTGTGTTTGTTTTTCTCCCTGCCATGGTAGAAAGGCTTGGGCTGCGTCAGGAGACCTGAGTTTGAATCAAGTTCAAGACCATTCATAAGCCCCGTTTCCTTGGAGACACTTCCCAGACCTCCAAGTCCTTCACCCAGTCAGCCTCAACCACATCCTTCTATGGGTTTTCTGTGTACTTACCTCCATCCCCGTGCTTGTTGAACAGTGCTGCCTTTCCTACTGGATGGCAATCTCCTGAAAGGAAGAATCTCTATCTGATTGACTTCTGTAACTCCAGTGCCTCTCCCAGGGCACAGCCCTGAGTACATTCTCAGTGACCAGCCATAATGCATGATGGTTAAGAACATGGAATTCAGGTTGCAGATTCTCTGTAGGTTCAAACCTTAACTCTGCCACTTGACTGAGTGAACTTGAACTTCAGTTCCTTATCCATAAAATGGAATCGTGATTCCGACCTTACAGATTACTGTGAAGATTTGATGAGAATGCAAAGTACTAAGGATGGTACTTGGCACTAAATAAAATAATATAGATGTAAAGATGGATACAAATAGAGATGGATGTATAGCTATATACATAAATAACACATATGGTGTGTGACTTCGAACAGGTCCCTTAAACTTCAAGGACCTTTGTTCCATTGATTTTTTTTTTTCTTTTTCTTTTTCTTTCTTTTTTTTTTTTTTTTTTTTGAGATGGAGCCTCACTCTGTCTTCTAGGCTGGAGTGCAGTGGCGCGATCTCGGCTCACTGCAACCCCCGCCTCCTGGGTTCAAGCAATTCTTTCTGCCTCACCCTCCTGAGTAGCTGGGACTCCAGGCGCCTGCCACCACGCCTGGCTAATTTTTGTATTTTTAGTAGAGATGGGGTTTCACCATGTTGGCCAGGCTGATCTCGAACTCCTGACCTCAAGTAATCCGCCTGCCTCAACCTCTGAAAGTGCAGGGATTACAGGCATGAGCCACCACGCCTGGCCCATTTCATCGATTTTTTTTTTTTTTTTTTTTTTTTTTTGAGATGCAGTCTTTCTGTGTCACTAGGCTGGAGTGCAGTGGTGGGATCTTGGCTCACTGCAACATCCACCTCCCGGGTTCAAACGATTCTTCTGTCTCAGCCTCCCAAGTAGCTGGGACTACAGGCACGCCACCGCGCAAGACCTGTTTCATTGATTTTTAAAGGAACACATAACTCCAAACTTCAAAGGTGCCTTCAACTTTTAAGTATGTGGAAATAGAATCTCAATATTCAACACAGGAAGGAATATCTCATGACCACCAAACAAAGGGGAGATTGCAGATTCAGGCAACACAGAACGAGGGTCTACAATGTGCTAAGCACTATTCCAGTTACTTTCAGTGAGTCTGGAAACTGTAGTCAAATTTTTAGGCTCCTTTCTTGGTTAGAAATTCTTTCTTGGTTAGAAATCTTCAGTATCGCCTCCTTTTGTTACATTACATCCATAGTAAATACATTTTTACCCAAAATATAAAGATACTTCTTTCTCCCCTCTCTTTCTCCCCCTACTTCCTTCCCCCACTCCCCCACCTCCCTTCCTCTCCCCACTTAGAAATTAATTTTTATCAAAAAAGAATCATTTTGATGCAAAAGGAAGAGTTCATTATTGAAGTTTTTTACTTTTCTCATTGTTCTCACAATCACCCTTTAGTTTTTTTTTTTTTAATTACAAGTGACTTGTGAATATATTTTTATATTTAAAGATTTAAACAATACAGAAATAAAGATAATGTTTTTTAAAAATGAGAATTCCATTCATTTCTTCTTCTAACTCTCTTCCCCAAAGTAATCACCACCCAAAATTTAGTGTGTACCTTCCTCCTTACTATGTATTTATAAATTATTTTATACATCTTTTTTTTTTTTTTTTTTTCAGATGGAATCTCGCTCTGTTTCCCAGACTGGAGTGCAGTGGCATGATCTTGGCTCACTGCAATCTCCACCTCCTGGGTTCAAGCGATTCTTGTGCCTCAGCCTCCTGAGTAGCTGGGGCTACAGGCACACACCACCACACTCAGCTAATTTTGTATTTTTAGTGAAGGCAGGGTTTCACCATGTTGGCTAAGCTGGTCTCGAACTCCTGACCTCAGGTGATCAGCCCACCTGGGCCTCCCAAAGTGCCGAGATTATAGACATGAGCCACCACGCCCAGCCTATTTTATACATCTTTTTTAAAACATGAAATCTAGATGATGTATATATTGTATTGTTGGAGGGGGTTCCTATTTGTTTTTGTTTCCCACTTAATAAGTATTGAAGATTTTTTTGTGTCTACATTTTGAAGAATATTGAATTTAATATAAATATTAAATTTATATGAACTTTAATGATTTCTCAGTGGCATTAAACACTGATGATCTCTTCTTCCTGGAATCATTTCTTTCCTTGCTTCCAAGACTATTCTTCCCTGATTTTGCTTGTACCTCACAAGCTGTTTCTTCTATTTTTTGGGCCTGATTATTGTTCATCTCCCCTTTTTCTAAATATTAGAGGAACCCAGAGCTTGTCCTTGGGTTGTCTTTTCTCTATACTCACTCCTCAGATTATCTCATTGAGTCTCACTTCCTTAAATATCATCTGCATGCTGATAGCCCTTTAATTTGTATCTTCAGGTAGATCCCATATGAACTCGAGACTTGCAAGTCTCTGATTCCAATTCAACGTACCCATGTGGATTTCTAAGAGGGCATTAAAAACTTAACACAGGCCAGGCATGGTGGCTCATGCCTGTAATCCCAGCACTTTAGGAGGCCGTGACGGGAGCATTACTTGAGCCCAGGAGTATGAGACCAGCTTGGGCAACACAATGAGACTCGATCTCTGTGAAAGTTGTTTTTTAAATTCTCCAGACATGGTGGCGCATGCCTGTAGTCCCAGCTATTTGGGAGGCTAAGGTGAAAGGACAGCTTCAGCCCACGGTTGGCGGGGTGGGGGACAGGGGGTTCAAGGCTGCATGAGCTGTGATTGTGCCACTGCACTCCAGCCTGGGTGACAGAGCAAGACCCTGTTAGGAAGAAAAGAAAAAACTTAACACAGCAGAATTTGATTTCAACACATGATCCAACCTCAGTCCTCTCCATCTCAGAAAATGGCAACTACATTCTTTCACTTGTTCAGGACAAAAACTCGGGAGTAGTTTCACAACTCTAAATGCTCTGTTTCACAGTCCCATACCAACTCATCTGTAAACTCTGCCTCCAAAATACCTCCAGAATCTCACACTTCTCACATTTTCCAGTGCTATCGTTCTTGTCTGCCTCTTTACCTGATCCATCTCTTGCTTGATTATTGCAATAGCCTCCTAATAAGCCTCCCTGCTTCTGGTCTTCCCAAAGTCTATTCTAACACAATACTTGGAATGATACTTTGAAAACATAAGTCTGGTCAGAACTATCCAGGGACTTCTAATTTTACTTGAGTGAAACCCAAGGCCCTATAAAGGCTTGCAATGCTGTACACAATCTGGACCTCTGTCTTCGAATAGTCTCTCTCTATTACCTTATCTCATTCACTACTCCAGCCATACTGGCCTTTTTGCTATCCCTTGAAAATACCAGGCATGTTCCTGTCACAGGGTCTTTGCATTTGCTATCCCCTCAACCTAAAATGTTTTCCCCCCATTTAGCATGTGGCTGTTCCCTCACTTCCTTCAGGTTTCTGCGCACAGAGTCCTTTCCTGAGCAATCTATCAAAACCAGCTACCCCCACCCCCACCTTCTCCCTAGCACTCTGAGTGCCTCTTTGGTCATTTGCCACAAGTTTTAATATATAGTGCTGTCATTTTCTTTCACTTCTAAATAATTTAGAATACCTATTTTGACTTCAATGCAGTAGTCACTGAATTTTCAAATAGATAAAAAGATTTACCCCTTTCTTGTTCCTTTCAAAATGGTCAGGAAATACGACTTGCAGTTTTTTTCTTCTTGTTTCGAATGTATTGATATTTTCTTAGTGGTTGGTTGCATAATTTTTATATAAGTGTTCCATGTATATTTAACCAAAACGTTGTATAGTTTATTGGTACAAAATTCTATGTCTAGTTGTTCTAGTCACACCTCCCTCTCTATCCTTTTATTTTTATGTCATTGGGTTTACTTCTGAGAAATGTATGAAAGTTTCCCAAAATAATTGTGAATTTCTTCCTTGTTCTTAGTGTTTCAATCAGCTTTTGCTGTATATATTTTGAAGCTCTGCGATCAGGAAATTAAAGACGCTGACTCTCTTCTTTGTGAGTTGTACCTTTCGCCCAGGCCAGCTCATTCTTTCTCCTCACTCGTTCGCTCTTCAGCTGTTCCCGTTTTGTGCCCTAGTGTATTAGTGAGAGTTTTGTTTTTATTTTGACAATAAAGGTAGTAATATTATCAACATATGTTATTCCTAATTTCCCTTTTAGTGGCCTTTACCTTAAGTGCTGTTCCATCTGATGTTAAATTCTTACACTTACTTTCTTTTTGTTAGCATTTGTCTGATATTTTTTCATCCTTTGATATTCAACCTTTTTAATGTAGTTTTGAGTTACATGTTCTCTTGCGAATCACATATAGTTGGATTTTGTTGCTTTCCTCAACCTAATAGACTCAGTGGGTTTTTTGTTTGTTCGTTTTTAGAGACAGGGTTTTGCTCTGTCACCCAGGCTGGAGTGTAGTGGCATGACCATAGCTCACTGTAACTGCAAACTCCTGGGTTCAAGCCGTCATACTGCCTCAGCCTCCCAAGTAGCTAGGACTACAGGCATGCACCACCATGCCCAGCTAACAGACTCAGTCTTTTAATACACTATATTGCAATGGTTAGTTTAAAATTAACGTATCTTTTATAATATGCATAAAATTAACTTCCAAATCCTCTAGTTGTTTTTCTTCCTTAACAATATTCTCTCAAGTCCCTAAGAAAATATTAACTATTTAAATATGGATAAATTTCCTAAAGTCTTTCTCTATCTCCTAATTCTTTTTCCTTGAGTATAAGTTGGTATATTTCCTTGAGTATAAGCTGATAGGTAAATCTGGTGCCTCTCTTTAGTGGCGTCAAATATTAGGTGATTCTCGGTCGTGCGTTCAATTTGGATTTGAGAATTCCTGTTTCCCTGCTCTGCTTACTTGGTAACAACAGTTACAAACTATCTGTTTGCTTCAGATAATTGTGGAGACAATTTGTGCTGCTAAGGGGTAGAAGGCTAGCGCTAGTGCCCACTGCCAGCCTCAGCCCATGGGCACCAGTACTCAACATAAAGGAAAAGGTGAGGGGCCTACCTCCCAATTGATCAGCCTAACGTTTACCTCAGAGTCCCTCCTGCTTCCCATTTCTGTTGCGTTTGAGCTCAGAGTATATGTGTTTTTGCTTAGTGGTTTCATGTGGTCATTTCTCTCTATATACACATGGTCTCATCCGCTTTTTGATTTTCAGGAATTCCTTAAAATTATCCGGCCGATGAAATCGTTCTTATTCCAACCCTGCTGGAAACAAAGGGGGAAAAAAGAAATCTTTCTTATTAGAGCCATCATTGACTTAATCTGTAAAAAAGTTTTCTGTCATTGTATGATATTTGGGGTAAAAGATTCTGACCTATTCTTTGTTGCTTGTCCATCTCATACATTTTCCATCCTCCATTTCTTCCTTTCTGTGGAAGGAGGAGTGAAATACAGAAATGATACTGTAAGTATCATCTTTTGCAGGTAAGTGGTCACTCAGCTTGCAGAGGGTAGTAGTTCTGCTTGCATTTAACCTACCCCGAGAGGCTAAATGCCCCTCCTAGGCTGGCCTTGAAGCTACAGACTGAAAACACCTCAGGCAAGACTGTCCTGGCAAATCCATTCAGTTTCTGCAGCTGCAGGAAGACAACACCCGCCTTGAATCGTCAAAAACTATGAGGGAGTGGGGAGAGCAGAGGCCAAAGAAGAGTAATGGAGAGGTTAATTTGGAATGGCCTCCTGGAGGTTGGGGCACATATAGGAGCAGGAAAGGGAGTTTTCATTTTTCCCAGTCCTACCTTCTCTGAGGAAAACTGCTCTTCTCAGTGCCTTCCCAGTGAGCACCCAGCCTTCAGACCAGCACTCACCCTACCTCCCCCACTGGGCACTTTCCAGGCAAGGGACTGTGTCTGAGGCATCTTTGTGATCCCCTCAGTAGGTGCTGGTTAAACTATATGAATAAATTATAAGCTTTTGAAGGTATCCATATTCCATTTGGTCTCTCAAGTCTCCACAGCGTTTCAGCTCTTTCCTCATTCAGATTAGAATAACACCACCACCCCTGCTTACAGATGAATTAGAGTGGACCGTCATCAGGAAATCCAACCCCACATAAGTGCCATGACTCAGCTCCTCCCATCTCCCCAGTTTCACTGCTGGACTCTGAGTTTCCCTCTCTTTCTCTTTGCTGAAAAGCTACCAAACCCTGAGGAGATTCCAGTCCTCCGATACATGAGTGGAGACGACCTTCTTCTGCTGGCCAGTTTAATAAAGATCCGTCGCCTGTTTCATAAACTTGAAGGATGTGTGAATTTTCCCTCAAGCCAGGTTTGGGAAAAATTAAAGCAACCTTCCTACCTTTCTTCACTTGCTCTAAAACTAATTGCCCTCTGTCACAGTTCTGGTATAAAGCAAGATACAATGAAGACAATAAGAAATATAATAAATGAAGAAATTTAACTAAGAATGATGGTGCTTTCATTTGTTTTGTTGAGGTTTTTTTGGTTGAGGTTTATTCGGGAGTGTGATGGCTAATATCAATCAAGGGTCAGCTTGATTGGATTGAAGGATGCAAAGTATTGTTCCTGGGTGTGTCTGTGTGGGTGTTGCCAAAGGAGATTAACATTTGCGTCAGTGGACTGAGAGAGGCAGACCCGCCCTCAATCTGTGTGGGCACCATCTAATCAGCTGCCAGCACAGCTAGGATAAAGCAGGCAGAAGAAGGTGGAACGAGCAGATTTGCCAAGTCTTCCAGCTTTCAGCTTTCTCCTGTTCTGGATGCTTCTGACCTTGAACATCAGACTCCAAGTTCCTCAGCTTTTGGACTCTTGGACTTACACCAGTGGTTTGCCAGGGGCTCTTGGGCCTTTGGCCACAGACTGAAGGCTGCACTGTTGGCTTCCCTACTTTTGAGATTTGGGGAGTCAGACTCTCTTCCTTGCTCCTCAGCTTGCAGAAGGCCTAGTTTGGAACTTCACCTTGTGATGGTGTAAGTCAATACTCTTTAATAAACTCACCTTCATATATACATCTATGCTAGTAGTTCTGTCCCTCTAGAGACCCCTCGACTAATACAGGTAGGATTCCAAAGAAGTGTACAAAATGACTAAAATACCAAGAAATATGCTATATTATCAATTTAGAACAAATTCTGAGCATTACTGGTTTACATTCTTTTTTTTTTTTTTTTTTTTTTTTTTTTTTAGAGATGGGGTCCTACTGTTGAAGCGGCATCATTTTCTGGGGTGATACCCAAGATTCATTGCCTCATGCCAGGAAAATTAAGCACACAGACAGACACAAGGAGTGAGTTTAAGGGCAGAGGTTTAGGCTGGGCGCCCGTGGCTCACACCTGTAATCCCAGCACTTTGGGAGGCCGAGGCGGGCAGATCACAAGGTCAGGAATTTGAGACCAGCATGGCCAATATGGCGAAACCCCATCTCTACTAAAAATACAAAAATGAACCGGGCATGGTGGCATGCACCTATAGTCCCAGCTACTCGGGAGGCTGAGGCAGGAGAATCGCTTGAACAGGAGACGGAGGTTGCAATGAGCTGAGATCGCGCCACTGCACTCCAGTCTGAGCGACAGAGCAAGATTCCATGTCAAAAGAGTAGAGGTTTAATAGGCAAAAGAAAGAGAAAGGAGAAAAGCTGTCTCTTGGGAGAGAGAGAGAGGAGCCCAAATCGGACTTCTGGCACCGAATTTCATAGACAGGATTGAGGAGGCGGTGTCTGATTTACATAGGGCCCATAGATTGGTTGGACGAGGTGTGACATTTACATAATATACAAGGAAACTGGCTGCCCCACTCTGATCATTATGCAAATGGTGTCTTCGCCTAGCAGGCACCATGTTGCCTGCTTCTTTTTTTTTTTTTTTTTTTTTTTTTTTTTTTTTTGATACGGAGTCTCACTCTGTCACCCAGGCTGGAGTGCAGTGGCGCGATCTCGGTTCACCACCAGCTCTGCCTCGCGGGTTCACGCCATTCTCCTGCCTCAGCCTCCTGAGCAGCTAGGGCTACAGGTGCCCGCCACCGTGCCACTAATTTTTTGTATTTTTAGTAGAGACAGGGTTTTACTGTGGTCTCGATCTCCTGACCTCGTGATCCACCTGCCTTGGTCTCCCAGAGTGCTGGAATTACAGACGTGAGCCACCGGGCCCTGCTTACCTGCTTCTTACTGTACATGTGGCTGGCAAAGAGAAGGGAAGATGGAGCCACCATTTTGAACATGCCTAGTCCCAGGTAGCCTTTTCCTATTGGCACAGCTGCCAGCATTCACCCATGCAGGCTTCCAGTTTGCTTGTCTATGTTTGCAGCTCAATTTTACAGACTGCTCTTTGTTAGAAAAGAAAATGATTTGGGGGCTGCTTTTCATTAAAAGGAAAACCTTACTGAGGACATCCTTACCCTCATTATTTGCCTACGTAATTCCTTTTTAACTCCTATATCACTGTGTTGCCCAGGCTAGTCTTGAACTCCTGGGCTCAAGCAATCCTCCCAACATGGCCTCTCAAAGTGCTGAAATTACAGATAAGCCACCCCAGCCTAATAACTCAAGAATGCCTTTTATTATTATTATTATTTTGAGACAGAGATTTACTGTGGCACTCAGTCTGGAGTGCAGTGGCTCACTGCTAACTGCAGCTTGGACCTCCTGAGCTCAAGTGATCCTACCACCTCAGCCAGTTCAATGATAGGGTTGCTTTAGAACAGAAAGCAAAGTTGAGAGTTGGAGGTGGAGGACCCTCAAGACATAGAAGGCTGCCAGAACTCTGTAGCTCCTGCACTTCCTGGGACTGACTTCTCAACTCTTTATTCTTTGGGAGAGGGTGAAATGTAGTTTCAGGGGACACCCCTTACACTGAATTCCAAATTTGGTGCTAGTGTGGAACAAGAGGGATTAGGCCTACCCACCATTCACGACTTAGTGTCAAATTACATTGTTTCCCTGCTAAGAGCTACCGGAGGAAATAGAAGAGGGAATGGAAAGGAAAGGAGCAAGTGGAAGCATAGAGTATTCCAGGGAAGCTGAGTGACTGGGAGATAGGGGGTCTGGTTCTTGCTATTAATCCATTAACTTCCCTTTTTTTCTTTTCCTGCCTTTAGTTAGCCTTCTTTCTAGGAATTTTGTTAATACTGAGGATTCTGTTTTATTTTATTTTTTATTTTCACTCTTGCCATTCCCCACACTATCTTTGTGAAAAAGAGGTTCCTAGATTCACATCTTAATCTACATTAAAGTCTTTCTCTTTTTCTTTTTTCATTTTGCCTTTAGACTCTTCCTTTTCATCGATGAGTAAACTTTTAGTTTCTATCAAGTGAGATATTAAAATAATTGAGCTAAAATGTATCAGAATAGCACCAAAAATTTGCACATAAGGGCAAATCGCAACAAAGCCCTAAATGAAATCTGTTATTGTACATCATTAAAAAAAAAAACACTTTTGGGGTGCTGAACCCCAAAGGCCTTGATTGACTGAGATTAGCAGGATAATGGGACAGTGTCTTTTACCATGTTGCTTCATGTCTAATGCCAGAATGTTATTTACTTTACTAAATGATAATGACATGTAACAAGGGTGTGAAACAAAATAAAAATATCAGGACTCCAAACTCACTATGCCAAAGGAAAAAGTCAAGCTTGAGAACTAAGTCACACAAAACTGCTTTCTATTTTGTTCCTAATTAGATAGCTACAAAGAGAAAAGGCTACATACTTCCCTCACAGTTTACTCAAGAGGAAATTCTTTCTGGGGCCCCAGTATCTTTACCCTAAAACAGCTTCATTGAATGTTAACCTGACAATGTAAATTAACAGCTTCTCATCACAGGCATGGGGAAAAGTCATCCCTCTGCTCAGCTGAGACAAATGCATATTTGACTACTTCCTCTACTCTATGTTTATCTTATGTAAAAATGCAGATTCACCAGCATGAGATGAATGCATAATTCCTATATCCCCTCCTTTCCCATGTAAAATGTGGATTCAGTGAATGCTGATCAAAGACTCCAACGATGCAACTGCTTGCCCCTTTTATTCCTTCCTCTTTTCTTCCTCCCCATTTTTTCCCTTCCTCTTTCCCCTACTACCTGCTCTTTCCCCTTTAAATATTGAAATCTCAGGTCAGGTGTGGTGGCTCACACTTGTAATTCCAGCACTTTGGGAGGCTGAAGTGGGCGGATCCAGCCTGGGTGACACAGCCAGACTTTGTCTCAAATAAATAAATAAATATTGAAATCTCAAACCTTATCTGGAAAAAGAATGGGTCATCGATGTTCCTGTGGTTTTGTGCTGCTTTCTCCTGGACGCATCCTCAATCTTGGCAAAATAAACCACTAAAATAATTGAGACCTATTTCAATCATTTAATTTGATTTACATTTTCTTCAATTTATAAGAAATTTACATTGCTTCTTTTAAAAATTATTAAAAATGAAAATATTCCCAAGTGGAAAACATCTATCTATATCTATCATCTATCATCTATCTATCATCTCATATTTCAAGGCAGCTAGACTTATTTAAGGGAATTGAATAATTCAAAATAACAATAGTGGTAAATCTTTTTGTATTTTTGAGACAGAGTCTCAGTCTGTGACACAAGCTGAAGTACAGTGACACAATCTCAGCTCACTGGACCCTCTGCCTCCCGTGTTCAAGTGGTTCTTGTGCCTCAGCCTCCCGAGTAGCTGGGATTACAGGCACATGTCACCACACCTGGCTAACTTTCGTATTTTTAGTAGAGACAGAGTTTCACCATGTTGCCCAGACTGGTCTCAAACTCCCGGCCTTAAGTGATCCCCCGACTCGGCCTTCCAAAGTGGTAGGATTACAAGTGTGAGCCACAGAACCAGGCCAGATAGTCATCTTTAATATTGTGCTCAATTTAATTCCAGTCCTTTCCCTCTCTCTCTCTCTCTCTCTCTTTCTCTGTGTTAAATTTCATACAGGGGAATTAGTCATTGCCAATAAGAATTTTGAAAGATAGGAAGTAAACTGAATTTTTTGTTCCTAAAAGAAAGCCACAGAAAAACTCTATTATAGAACTGCAAAATAAGCCAACTAAATTAAATGCACATTGTTTGTTAGTAAACTGGAAGCAAATATTTTGTGAAACTGTTAGGATTTTCAATTTTACAGTAAATTTACTACTAGCTTATTTAAAAAAAATAATTAAGCAAAGGCTATTGGAGTCTACGTTGTTTTAATAGATGTATTTAAATAAAAATAATAAGATTTGGATGATCAATAACATTCAGAAGCAAATGTTATACTGTAATAATAAAAATTTCTTAGAAACACAGAATTGCTGCCTGGGCATGGTGGCTCATACCTGTAATTCCAGCACTTTGGGAGGCTGAGGCAAGAGGATCACTTGAGCTCAGGAGTTTGAAACAAGCATGGGCAATGTAGTGAGACCTCATCTCTACTAAAAATCAAAAACATTAGCCAGGCATGTAGTCCTAGCTACTAGAGAGGCTGAGGTGAAAGCATCACTTGAGCCTGGGAGGTTGAGCCTGCAGTGAGCTGTAATCACACCACTGCACTCCAGCCTGGGCAACAGAGTGAGACTCTGTCTCAAAAGAAACCAACAAACAGGCCGGGCGCAGTGGCTCAAGCCTGTAATCCCAGCACTTTGGGAGGCCGAGATGAGTGGATCACCAGGTCAGGAGATCGAGACCATCCTGGCTAACATGGTGAAACCCCGTCTCTACTAAAAAATACAAAAAACTAGCCGGGCGAGGTGGCGGGCGCCTATAGTCCTAGCTACTCGGGAGGCTGAGGCAGGAGAATGGTGTGAACCCGGGAGGTGGAGCTTGTAGTGAGCTGAGATCCGGCCACTGCTCTAGCCTGGGCGACAGAGCGAGACTCCGTCTCAAAAAAAAAAAACAACAAAAAAGGAAATCAACAAACAAAAACCCAGAAATGAACTGTATTTTTCTCCAGCTATGTTAGAGGGTACACCAAGGGCAACTAAACAATAGATTTTACTTCAAACCAAGTAATTTTGTCCTGATCATTC